TTTTTTTTTTTTTTTTAAATTATTATTATTTCAAGAATAAAGCAAAGCTGTACAGGGAATTTGGTGGTCTTGTCTTGAAGGCTGGCCTTGTTTTCTGTTCTTTTTCCTTTGATTTTATGGTGGATGTATAATAAATTTGAACTCTTTTTTCTTTACATTTTGGATATCCATTTCAAATCTGGAGAAGGAAAACACAAGTATTTTTGAGTTCGGTTGCCGTGTTGCATTCATACTCTGATGTTGCAGGTCCCTTTTTCATTTTTCTTCTGGGAAATTGTACAAAATTTACAATCTTTAGTAGATGGAGGAGGTGGGGCCACAGGTAGTCTCTCCTATGCTCATCCACCGATCACTCTCCGCCAGATTTCACGATCCGTATGTGATCTCGAAGAAACGCGGTTTACCTTTGCACCCTTCGAGTTACGTCCGTGAGGACGACTCGAGAGGCTGGAATCCCAAGTCCTGGAATTGGGATAGTTCGAGATTTGTTGCCAAACCATTGCATTGTGAAGCAAACAGTGCTCCAAGAGAAGAACATGCAACTCTCGGGCTTCAGCTTGGAGGAGGTGGAAATGACAATGAGAATGAGAATGGTAAAAGTAGTGGTGAAAATGGCGGGCTGAGTTTAGTTGGTGGGCTGCAGCCCGTGTCAAGGCCTAACAAGAGAGTGAGATCCGGATCGCCTAGTGGGCCAAACTATCCCATGTGCCAGGTGGATGATTGCAAGGAGGATCTGAGTCGGGCCAAGGACTATCACAGGCGGCATAAGGTGTGTGAGGTTCACAGCAAAGCTGGGAATGCCTTGGTTAGGAAACAGATGCAGAGGTTCTGCCAGCAGTGTAGCAGGTTCGTGATTGCAATTTCTTGGTGAAACATAGTTCACGTGTAGTTTTACTTTCATGTATGATTATTGTCAAGTTATGATTGTCTGATAGAAATTTTGCTTGTTGGTATGAAGTATGAACTGAGTTACCTTGGGTTTAGGAATACATTGCGCTTAGGGTGTACTAGAAGCTTTTAGTTTGCTTTTGATTGGATGCTTTGGGTGTTGGGGATTGTATTTTCAATGACTCTTAATAAGGTGTGATGTTTGGAATACGTACGCTGAAAAATATTTCAACTATGTGACTATATAAGATCCCCGGGGGTTGAGGAATAAAATTTGGGAGCAAAATGTTGAGAATTATGTTAATTTAATTGAATGAAATCAAACTTAATGATAATGTTGAGGATGTTGTAGTTCTTGTTAACCATTTTCATTTGCTATTATTATAATCTTGTTATACCCTCTTCCTTCAAAGAAATATTTGGTTACTTCTTGTGTCCCACAAACTGTTATTTCATTGAAATAGAATAGTTAAGCTATTAATCTCCTTCTTATGTCCTTATATAACTTGCATGGTTATTAGTGAAAGTAGAATCATAAAGATGTAATATTTATCAATCTAAAAGGGTATAATGGGGAAAATTCTCCTGGATTTTACCTTTCTAACATTAATGATTGGTGTTTTATAGTGGGTGAAAAAAGTAAACAAGCAATAATTTTTTTAATTCTACATATATACACATGGATACATAATCAGAAAAATAATAGGAAAAGCTTTGGAGATATTTGTGAACAGATGTAGAAGTGAACTCAATTACCTATCTTGATTTCATTTAATTTTGCCAGGTTCCACCTCCTTTCAGAGTTTGACGAGGGCAAGAGAAGTTGCAGGCGCCGACTTGCTGGCCATAACAGGAGGAGGAGAAAAACTCAGCCGGAGGAAAATAATCCAAGTTTGTTAGTCCCCAGCAGCTGTGACAACAATGTCACTAATAATGACATCATCAATTTATTGACAGTGCTCTCTTGCGCACAAGGTATGACCTACCTAAAGTTAAATGGTCCAACCAAAGCAATTACCAGTAGGAAATAGTCAAACTTATCTGCATATACAAAATTGTATCTAGTTTAAGAAAATTATAATGAGTATGAAGGTGAAAAGTTGTGTATAAATAAAAACTCTTTATTCTTGTCCTGTTCACAGGGAACACGGAGGAAGCAAATAGTAAATCCTCATCCATACCTTCGAAAGATCAGCTCATTAACATACTCAGTAAAATAAACTCACTTCCCTTGCCCGAGGACTTGGCTGCCAAGCTGAATGCAACTGTTCCTAATCATATATCCTCTGAAACTCGGAAACAAAATAATGGAACCATGGACTTGCTTGCTATCTTTTCAAAAACTTCCAAAGCACCCTCTCATGAAATTCTCCCTCGGCCAAGCACCGGAGACAGCAACTCGGAAAAAACAAAATCACATTGTGTTGACCAAGAAATTGACTTCCATGCTGGGCAAGCCTCTCCCAGTTTGCATTTGCAGCTGTTTTGCCCCTATCCTGAAGATTATAGGTCAATGAAATTGCCCCCAGATGGAAATGTCATCTCGTCCGGGAGCAGTAACCCATCGGTGGAGGTTTCGCCCATGTCATCGCCACCTGTTGTGCATGATCTGTTCCCAATGTGGAATTCAAGCGAAACAGTGAAGGATACTCATTTGTCAAAAAGTGAAGGGGAAACTGCGCGTGCAAAATCGACCACAAGCAACGGTGGTACATCTCTTCAGCTATTTGGAAGTTCCATCATACCTACCGAGAATGGTTCGAATCAGAGCTCTCCATATCAAGCTGGTTACACGTCTTCAGGGTCCGATCATTCGCCATCTAGCCTTAATTCTGATTCTCAGGTAATATTGTTATTACCAAAAAATAATTGCTAGATTCACCCCTTGGATTTAGGATGTTTTGGAAAGCTCAGAAGTTTTAAAATTATGAAAAAAAAAAGAAGAAAAACTGAAGTTTGGTTCCCTCTTATATTTTTCCCCCTCCATAATTAAAGTCACTAAGCATTTCAAGTACCTCCCCTTGCCTTCATGCAATCAGCCCTCTAACGTTTGAGGCCCAAAAAAATCCCATGAATTTTTTATCGGAATCTCCCTGTTTCTTCTATTCCTTTCCTTTTGTCATAGAATCTTCAAACATAAGGATACTTTTTTAAATATCATTGTCGTCATCATCGTCATCATCATGATACAATCGAAGTCTATCCTAATTTTCATATCTAGTTTTAACAGTTTCTCTCTCTCTCTCTAGGATCGTACTGGTAGAATAATTTTCAAACTGTTTGACAAGGATCCAAGCCATTTGCCAGGGTCACTAAGAACTCAGGTTATTGCTTTCCTTTGGATTCTTTTTCTCAATCACTTTGCTTGGCTAACATCTACAGCTTGATCCTACTGCCTTTGATTTCCAGTTATACAACTGGCTCTCTAACAGTCCGTCAGAAATGGAAAGCTATATTAGGCCTGGTTGCATTGTTCTTTCTCTGTATTTGTCAATGCCATCTCCTGCCTGGGATCACGTGAGTGCACTTCTATGAAGTATATAATTTACCTTGTAATAACGGAGTCGGTTGACCAATGTCTGTTCTGCCTTTTGCATTTGCAGCTTGAAGGAAACCTCCTTAACTATGTGAAATGCTTAGTCAAAACTATTGATGTTGACTTTTGGGGAAATGGGAGATTTTTGGCTTATACAGACAGACAAATGGTTCTACATAAAGAAGGTATGTCCTGCTGTTTTTTTTCTTTTTTTATTTTTTTTTTGTCATTTTGTCTTATTTAATGCTCTTTTTCTTGATTTTCTTATCTTCCTTTGATGTACTTAATCTGCAGGAAAACTTCGCCTTTGCAAAACCTGGAGAGCCTGGTGTACACCAGAACTGATCTCGGTGTCACCTCTGGCAGTTGTTGCTGGACATGAGACCTCTCTTGTATTGCACGGGAGAAACTTGATGGGTCCTGCCACTATGTATGTTATTGATGATCCTTTTTATGCCGTTGGCTTTTTTTTTTTTTCCTTAAATTATCTAAAAAATGAAAATAAAATGAAAAAATATGCAGGGTACACTGCACACATGCTGCTGAGTTCAAAATAAAAGAGGCTCCTTTGACATCATACCAAGACACCACTGCGCATGATGAGATTAGTTTGGTTGGATTCAGGGTTAATTCCTCATCAGGCGTGCTTGGACGCTTTTTCATTGAGGTAGCTGAGTTCTTTATCAAACAAATGTGTTGAGAATGCACTGGGTTCTGGATAAACTAATTTTAAATTTTGTGTTCACAGGTTGAAAATAAATCAAGAACAACTAGTTTCCCAGTAATTATAGCAGATAAAGCCATCTGCCAAGAATTGAGACTCCTTGAGTCCGAAATTAATGGAACTACTAATCTACAAATCCTTCATTTCCTAAACGAACTTGGCTGGCTGTTTCAGAGAAAACACAACTCGTTCTTATTCGGGATCCCTGACTATAGGCTTAGTCGGTTCAAGTTTCTTCTTATATTTTCCGTCGAGCATGACTTTTGCGCTTTGGTTAAAACCCTCTTGGGAATACTTGTAGAACTGAATGTTGGTAGGGAAGGATTGGTAAGAAAGTCTCTGGAGATGCTGTCTGAAATTCACCTCTTGAGCCGCGCTGTCAAGAGGAGGTGTCGAGCCATGGTTGATTTGCTCATTAACTACTCTGTTATTGATTCTGCTGATAGTTCCAAGAATTTCATTTTCGTACCTGATATGGCTGGGCCTGGTGGCATCACCCCTTTGCATTTGGCTGCTTGTACATCGTTTTCAGATGATATTGTTGATGCATTGACAAACGATACAAAAGAGGTACATCCATTTATTTCTAAAACTTGTTGAAAATTTTCATTTTTAGGAAATTGTTTATTTATTTATTTGAAATTTTCTGTAGGTTGGATTGCGTAGTTGGAACTCTGTTGTAGATGCAAACGGGCTTTCTCCATACGCATATGCCTCCATGAGGAACAATCATTCGTACAATGCCCTTGTTGCACGGAAGCTAGCAGAGAAAGAAAACGGCCAAATATCTGTATCGATTAAAGATGAGATTGAGCCGTTGCGAGTGGAGTCAGATCCGGAGAACAACAATCTCCAGTTTAACAAAAGGCAGAAATCTTGTTCGAGATGTGCAGTCATTGCATCACGTGGGTGCATTAAAAAGTTTGGGGCCGGCTCGAAAGGCCTGCTTCAAAGGCCGTACATACACTCGATGCTAGTTGTTGCTGCTGTTTGTGTGTGTGTGTGTTTGCTGATGAGATCACACCCACGTTTCGGGTGTGGCAAGAGTGTTGATTGGGATAGATTGCAGTTTGGCACAATGTAGTAGAGTAGTCTGTGGGGTTCGGCATGAAAGGCTGGTTTGACAAATTTATGCAGCAGGGTTATTATACTTGTTGCTTTGAGAAGTAATAAAAAGGAATCTCAAACCTTGAAGATGAAGGTGCTAAGAGTGAAGTTAAAAGAGCAGCTACCAAGGTACTGTGGTTTATGCCTTTTCACAGGTAATTATAATTATGTCTGTGTAATAATATTATGGTTACTGTAAAAATATGATAGGTTTTCCTTTTTACAGTATAGATGAAGTGTGGATTTTGTTTGTGTACAAGATAAATTGTGTAACTGAATATAGGCAATCTGTTGATTTATTTTTGTGTGATAGTTATTTGATGTGCATGTAATGAATTGTAAGTTTGTTTATTGTTGATGAGGCATTGAGTAATGCTAATTAATTATAGGCAAAATTGCAATTTTAGTGTTGTTAGTTTGATCCAGTGACATTTTTAGTCATAAGAATTGAACATTTTTGCTATTTAGTCCTTATAATTTTAAAATTTAATGCAGTCATTTGGGACTGAAAATGCAACAAAATTTAAAATTAGAGGACTTGAATTTATAACAAAAAATCTTTTGGATGGATTTTTTATTGGCAATTTAAGTCATGTAATTGTAAATTTTGTGACAATTTCAGTCTCAAAGGACTGAAAGTGCAACACAATACTAAATTACAGGACGAAAAGATGAAAACGTTGAAATTTTAGGACTAAAAATGCTATAGCGTTAAACTAGTAGGACAAAAAATATAATTTTGCTTTAATTATATATTATTTTCGATTTCCAAACAAACTGCACAGCATGCATACATTCCCAATACCCAAAAGCTAATTAAGGTCTGTTTCACAGATGAGGAAAAAAAAAAAAAAATGCAAAACATTCGAGTATAAAAAAATCAGTTGTGGTGAAGTTGCCTTCTTCCCCTTGGCATAATATTTTGCAGCAAGGCTTCAGCCACACCTTCCCCAATCCCTTCAAACAGTCCCCCTATGAACTCAGTCACAACTTGGGAAGCCACGCGGGCCGCGGTCCCAAGCGCGCTCGGCTTCTGAGGTGTTGGTATCCCGTTGTCGTGAAGGCCGTTAATGAAGGACTTGGCGCAGACTGCATGAAGATAGTAAGACTCATTATCCTCGCAAGTCGTGCAGCGGTAGACGCGGCCAGACTTTCTCTTACCACTGCACTCATTGCAAGTGCAGTAGTAATGTGAATCTGTGGGCAGCAGAGTGAGGGCGTGGGGGTGGACTGCTACATTTATGCGAGTCGACAGCATGGCGCAGCATGGGTGCATCTGGAAGCTGCACGCTCCGCACCGCAGGGCGAAGCCTTTTGCCGACTTCCCGCACACGTCGCACCTCGACCACGACATTCCACCCTTTGCTGTTCAATCAATCATTTTAATTATTATAAACAGATTTTAAAGGGACTAATGGTTACCACCCAGTGGTGTCTCATCAATTTTGTTCAACTCCTTCAGAGTAGAGTTGGCATCGACATGCGACAGAAATAAAGACATCCCTTATCTATTTTAAAAATGTTTTTGCGTTAATACACTGGTATATTATTAAGATAGATAGACTTCTTTTGATTCCTTTTTTACTCCTTTTGAAATACGGCAAAATATTTTTAAGTGATTTTCTTAACCATTCTCATCTTTCTCTTCTATCTTCTCTCCTATTTTTTGTCTCTTTCTTCTATCTTTTAAATGTGTTTCTTCTTTTTCTTCTTCTCTTCTATTTTTTTTTTTCTCTCGAAACATCTCACTTTTATAGAAAATTATCGCAAAATATGCTTCTTCTCTTTTCTTACTGAAAAAGAAATAATTAATTAGAATAATTTGATATGTCCTGAACTAAATTCATTTGATATGCACTAAACTAAATTTATAGAAACGCTTCTTCTCTTTTCTTATTAGAATAGTTTGAGATGTAGGCTGTTTTATTGGAGAAGAACAAATCTGGGAGACTAAAATTTCTCAAAATTGTTATTTGTTTCTTTTATGTTTCTTAATTGTTGTTTTATTATTATTTTGTTGTTCATTTCACGTTACTTTATAATTAACTGAATTGTTATGTATTTTTATAATCAGTTGACTAATCTTTTTTTATATTTTGCATCGTTGGAAAGGAAAAAAAAAAAGAGAGAGAGAAGAAGAAGAAGAAGAAAAAAATTGAAGATAGAAAAAAAAACGTTAAAGGAGAATAAAAAGGAGGAAGAGAGAGAAAAAGGAAGAAAAAAGAAGAAGAAAGAGAAAAAAGAGGGAGATAGAGAGATAGAAAAATTGTTGCCTTTCAGTTTTTTCTGAAACCGATTCATAATTTTGTATTTTTCAATTTCTTTTATTATTTCAAATTTTCCTAAATTTGTCTAACTTTGAAGTATATTTGGTATTGTGGATAGGTGACAACTATTGTAGAATATTAGTCTTAAAGAGAGGCAGTTATAAAATTTTCCCCATGCGACAACGACCAGCCCATTGCCCCCACCTACAATCTATCTATATATAAAGGTTTATATTTATCTAAAATATAAACTAAAATCTCGATTAAATTATTTTAAATTACTAAATTTGATAATATTTTTTCGAAAATATTCAAAACAATATCGATTAAATTTTTGTAAATTACTAAATTTGATAATATTTTTTTTAAAACATATTTTAAAAAAATATCGTACAACATTAATTAATCTATGGTATAAAGTTGCCAAAATTAGTAAGTCCAATTTTGATATAAAGTAAACTATTTTATTTGAGGTATTTGATGGTCAATTTTTTACTTTTGGTAGGAAATATGTTGTTATTAATAATTGTAGTATAGAGTGGGCGATTTTATTTTGGTATGAAATTTCTGAATTTAAATAGTATGGACTTTTAGTACGTAGAAGTGTATCTAGAAATTTTAAAAACAAAATGAGTGGTATCGATTTATTTGTTATATATAAGTATGAAAGTGAAATTTTAGGTCGATTTGGTACAAAATCAAGGTGATATGATTGTCAAATTTTAGCAATTTTCATAATAACTTGTCATAACATATTGATGATAATTCAATAGATTGGCATGGATTTCTCTTGAAAGTCAGAAATATCTGGGAACTAATATTGTTTAATAACATTTAAATCAGATTTACAAAAAATTTTTTAAAATGACACTTATTTTGAAATGTGTATAATGTAATTTATTATCAGTTACTTGCACCTTACGGGTTGTTTATTAATTTTAAATAGACATGTTTTGTGTAAATTTGTGCAATTTAAATTTCATATAACATTTTTATTAAAATTAAATTTCATATAACATTTATAATAAATTAATATAGATAAATTGTGCTACATGATGATTTCATATTTTTAGATTATAAATATAATATAAAAAATATTTTTAATTTATAAATGTTAATAAATATCTCTTACCGTGCATCAAAAAAAATTCGTACGAGTTAATACATAATGATAGCCAATTTGATTGCTCATCAGATAGACTGTCTATAAGTGTATATCATATGTAAAACTTGGACAATCATATGCAATAATCAGAAAACAGTGAAAACAATATTTATTTTTTAAATAAAGAAACTATAACGATACTTGCTTGAAAATAATATTTGATATACTAAATAAAAGTTAATTATATAAAAATACTTTGTACACTTTATTTAAATTAAGAAATGATTTTTTTAAAACATATTTTCTTTTATTAATTTGTGTTCGTACTTAATATTCACATTTTCCACAAACCCACGGGATAATACAATAATATATGTTTTAAGCTATATCAATATAAATAAATTTTATTACTCTATAACATAATTTATAGTTTCATTTAATATTTTTAATTTTGTTTGATAAATAACCTTTTTTTACTATATTTTGAATGATTTTTCATTTTATATATGAAACATAAATGTTAAATCGAAACGAGGTAAAAGGTAATTAAAGTACAACCGGAAAAGCAATAACCATTTAAAAATAAGAGGACATAATATATAATATATAATTAGAGACTATTCATTTAAATGTAATTTTTTCGTTCATTTTTTTCATTCAATTATGAAAATAACCGTTATACTTTATATTAATTAAGTATAACAATATTTTTTTTATAACTGTTTTTTCACATAATAATCACTGTAATATTAATTAATTATAATTTCACATTAAAAAGTTTATATACTTATTCATTTGAAAATAAATAATACCCTCTTATTTTTATCTCATTAAGCGATTTCTAGATAACTAATTGGTTATAACAGCATAGCAAACCTTTTAAAATCGGGTGAACAATTGCTATAATAATAATAATAATTTAATATTTTATGACTAATTAATTGGTCAGATTATTTTGTATTTGTAAAAATTATACTATTGAATTTTTTGGAGTTTATATAGCTATTCATATATAAATAAAATAACTTATAATTATATTTCTCAATTTTACTAATTATTAAATTTATTTAATTTGATATTACGGTTATATAACTTATGATTTTAAACATAATGCACATATATATGTCTAATAATATTTTATTAATTGTACCGAAAAAAATAATATTTTATTAAGATCTATGCATATTAATTACTAGTATGTTAATAAGAAAATATAAGGCAATATATTGTAATTTATGAAAAGGTATGTAATAATCTATTGTTTATGGTACTTTCAAGCTTTAAAGGTAAAAATTTTCTGTAAACAGAGCTACAATATTAGAAAGAAATAGAAGGACGCATGGTGTTGCTTTAGTTTGATGGAGTTTGAGGAAGTAGACCTGATCTGGGTTTCGAATGGAAAACGAGCTGATGTTGTGCGTGCAGAGGATGGTCGTTGAAGACGGGAGGCGACAAGGCACAAAAGACGTGTAGCTGAAAGTCACAGTGGCGGCAGGAAAACCTCTTGCCGGCCCCATACTCCCTGCAACCACTGCACCTGAATATTTCGGGCGTAATTATTTCGGTTAAGGGGTGTTTGGAGTGGCTGTAATGACTTATCTCTTGCTTGGCACCTGCCGCCTGAGCCAAAGTTGGGAATTCTATGGACGATGTAGAATTCGACCTTTTCATAGTGGAACTTCTTCTTTGCATCATTTTTCTTTTTTTATGGTGATGAAATTCAGAGCTTTTTTTAGAAAGGCACAAGTGATGGATGGTTCAATTTGGATGGCTAAGGGGGAGGAATATTATTTATGGTGGTGATAGATAGTTGTCATTGTCTAAGCACCATATGTTCAAACAGGAGAGTAGACACAGTTAAGAAAAGTGTACATGCTTGCAAAGTGTATATACATATGCATACTTGAAATTATGATGATTGAATCAAAGTGAGAAAGTCATAGAAAAATAATGAAACAGACAGTACTTGAATGACCTTCGTGGACCTGCAAAATGCGTCGTAAGTGTTTCGACCGTAAACCTCCAACCAGGGGCGGACGCAACCTAGGAAGACTGAGGGGCACAAACGTAATCTTTACAAAGTTGGAAAAAAATGATATTATTCTCTTCATGTTCTTCTATATTATGTCACTCATAAATGTATAAATTCAAATCTTATTAAGTATATCTTTTTCAAATACCAATATTTTTTTCTTTTGCATTGGATATTCTTAGACGTTAACATTCGTGGACTTCTTTATAATAAAGACAAATATTTTATTGGTTAAAAAACAATGACAAACACAATTTAGTAGCTAATTTAAACTTATAATTATAATTTTAAGAACACCTCAAATTCCATGTCCATCAAAATCAATGTTGACTTTTGTGGAAAATCGATTGTGGAAAATCAATGTAACTCATTTATATATGTCGCATACAACATAATACAAATACAAAATGCAAACAACTTAAATTTTAAGAAAATATATCTATAATTCTTTTACAATATAATTATATATGTAATATTTTTTTTTTAAAAAAATTGCACAGGGCCTGTTCCCCTACGGAACCTTGTCTAGGTCCGCCAATGCCTCCAACGTTCAAGTTTGATGGGTCTTCTCTCAGATCTGGAGTGAATCAATAGAAACCAGCTCAGATCTGAAATGAACCGATGAGAATAAACTCAGATCTGCCTCGATCGCCTTCAAACCGTTGCCGAACCGCGAGAACACCTACAAGAACTCAACGCTGGAGGGGTTTCTAGCATAGAGCCTCCGACGCTCAAGTCAGTATATGAAAGAGATGAAGAGAGTTGCTCTGAGAGAGCAGCAAATGTAATGGAGGAGAGTATAGAATGAATGGGAGTTAGGGTTTTGGGGTTACCTCAGCTCTTTTATATAGAAGCAAAATATTTGCCTGAAGTTCCCAAAATGCCCTGGCCGACTTACTGGAAATGTCCAAAATACCCTAGTCGGTTCGCATTCCGTCCATCTCCTAGTCAGCATCTAGATCCCTTCTTATCCTTAATAACTTTCTTCTTATCCTTGACAGCTTCCCTATGATATGTTGAAGTATACCGAAATCGTCGGAGATCTATGAGCCTCGAGACGTCCTCAGTCGACTCGGGATATCAACTCGAGTCGACTGGGTCATCTTCAATCGTCGGTAGACCTTGATGCGCCTGTCCGTCTTTCTGGTGGGAGTCGACTTCTACTAGTCGACACATGGAAGTCGACTGAGAGAAACGCCTGGGTTCTGACAGACTGGAGATATTATAAGTCCGCGGGAAGAGTCGACTTCATATAAGTCGACTCAATAATGTCTGAACCGTTATACGACAGTATGGCTATATCATCTAGTCCCCCCAAAAATTACTCGAAGCGATTCTGAGCTTAAGAGTAAATTTGTCGGTTGAGCCCTTATAGGATTTTCTTCTCAGTCGATCTCCTTATTCCCAACCGTCTATATTTATCTCTCGACTCGCGAGAAGCTCTTTCGCTTCACTTAGGGAAATTCTCACATTGATCGGATAAGCTCAGATTTCTTTCCGAATTTCAAAATTTAAAAAGGCTTGGAATCTGACAAGACGTTTCTCTCTCCACCTCTTCGTATTCCGTGCATCATTTCGTCCGTTGGATCTGCCTTTAATCTAAGGGCTAGGGTTCCTTTACTTCTCTTATAAATTCCCCTCCCCTTTTTCTTCTCACACTTTTCCGCACTCAGATTTCCCGGACTTCCTTTTTCTCCGGCAAATAAAGCATCCCAAGTTCTCCGGCGCTCGCTTCATTTTCCGACGCTCCTCTCGGATTTCTCAGGACTTCTTCAGCAATCATCATGTGTAAGTTCTCTTTGCTTTTATATTTATTGTTATGCGATTTTTTTTCTTTGCTTTTCTTGGCCATATGCTTGATGTTCATAGATTCATTGGGCTTTCTGGGATTTTTAGACGACTTTCTGGGATTTATTTTGTTAGATCTTTAGTTGTAGATTTTTCATCTCTCCAAGTGTTTTCGTCCAGCAGTCGATTTGATATGAAAAATCAATTCTTCTGCTTCTCTTTGGTTATCATTGATTTGACATCCTCGCGCCGAATCGAGTGAAGCAGAAATGACCTACAAATTCTTCTCGATCCTCTCTTTCTTTTATTCTTATATCGAGTCGATTTGCACGTTTTCCTCCCTCCTTCAATGATTCTTCTTCTTAGATTCGAATCGCAGTTATGATTATCTTCGTCTATTGATTGTCGTTCTCCTTTTTTTCCTTTCTTTCTTTTTTAGATTCCGACTCCGCCCCTGTTTCTGATCCTATTTCCGGTTCTCTTGCCTGCAAAATCGACGAATACTCGGGTTCTGACTCTGTTCAAATAATCGATGTTAGACCGAGTGCTAATCAAAATATCGAGCCGGAAGGCTCTGTTAACTCCAATGCCTCGCCCTTCGGCATCGACTGGGACGTATATAATCAGCCGCTGTTGTCAGGCACTCTTTGTGGGGACCCTGAAGTTTCTCGCGCTCCTGCATCTCCTCGACTTAGCTTAATCCCTAGAGGTATTCTCATTAGGCTTTTAGACATCCCTATGTTTAGAACAAGCCCAGTTCATTCGTTAATAATGGCCCCCTCAGTCGAGTCTGTAACTGTAGCATGTTTCGTAGCAAAGTTAGTTGTTAACCCCTTTTCTTATGCTTCTGCAGCCGAAATCGATGGCTTCAGAGAGTACAGTGGTCTTCCCTCCGATTGGGAATTGGTTGCTCCTACATCCAAAGACGACTTCTGACATCCTCCTTGCGGCTGTTTTACCTTTTTCTTCGATCAAATAATGTCGGGATTGCGCTTCCCGATTCAATATGAGTTGCTATCGCTGAGCAACTTATTTGATGTACCCATAAATCAATTTACTCCCAACTCTTTCCAAATAATGGTGGCCTTCATAGTCGTTACCCGCATAGTCTTAGGTAGTTTTACACCCGATTTTTTCCTTTACTATTACGGTTATAGGTTTAGCAAAGATGCCCACTGCCTAGGTCGTCGGGTAGGGGTGACCTTTCTCGATGATCTCTCTTCCAATATTACCGAGTGGAAGAAGAAATATTTCTTTATTCGGCCTGCTCCTGGCCAATATCCTTTCACCAACGAGTGGTTCACCAGTAAGGTGCAGCAGCGTAAGCGCCCTCATTCTCCACAATTTGCGGATATGCTGAGGGAGTTGAATAAGCATGTTTGGAGCGCTCGTCGACTGCTAAGGATAGCTCCCTTCTTAATCATGTTGGGATTTGTGTCGACAAGAGTGCTCCCCAAATTAAGGATCCTTGTAAGGCCTTTGTTATTTTAGTTTCTCTTGACCTACTATTCACTATCTAGACACCTCTTTACCTCCCTTTGATGCGCGCATAAGTACTTTCCTTAATTGTTGTTGTTTTTATGTCGACAGTGAATGCTCTCAAGCGGTTCGAGAAGAAGAAGGCCGAGGCGGCCGCTAAGTCCGCTGCTCACCCTGCTCCTCTCCAGAGGTCTGAGGAAGGCTCGGGCTCTGGTGCTCATATTCTGGCAGTCGAGACGACTGCCCTTCATTCGGCTTCTAAGCCGATCCAACCGTCGGGTCCTCATTCGTACAAAAGGCCCCAGGACAAGAGGGACATGACTCCGGCGCCCGACTCCCCAAAATGCTAGAAACGGAAAGAGCCGCTGGTCGAGAAGAACGCGGGGCAGTCGTCCCCTGTGAAGGTGCAACCTGTAACACTGCAACAACCTTCCCGGCTCTACGACAACCCCGATCCCCTTCAAATTCTCAACTACCTCCAGTTGATTATTCATGAGGACGACAGGGTCTGGACCGACGGCAACCCCTACGATCGGGCCCGTTATGCGGCTCGGCTCATCCCTCGGGTGCTTGATCTTGCATTTTCTCCTCTTTTTTTTTGTACTATGTCGACTTCTCATTATCTCACTTGCTCGTTTTCTTCTCAGCTTCTTGCCTGCATTATCCCTTCCATGATCGAAGAAGCGACTTCTCCCGATAACAACGTCAAGGTCTTGGTGGAGAAGTATGAGGCCAAGTGTAGAGAGCTCGAAGCGAAGGAGGAAGAGCTCGAAGTCGCCAACATTCTCATCGCCAAGCTTCGATCAGACAAGGATGCGGCCATCCAGAAAGTCGAGAAGCTGAGGGTCGACCTGACCAAGGCCAATGACGAGGTCTTGGTCGAGAGGGAGAGTGGGGTTCAGGAAAGTCGTCGGATTCTTGAAGTCTCCTACGGGCGCTGCTTTCCTAGCCCACTACCGCAAGGCTGTGGTCGAGGCATTTTGCAAATCGTCCGACTTCCTGGACGAGTTGGTTCCTATAGCGGTCCAATATTTTGACTTCGCCTGTGACACGTGGGAACAAGCTGTGGTCCAACCCGACTTTTCCGGAAGGATCGATCAGGAAGAAGTGAAGAAGACGCTCCCCGACCCCGAGGACTTCCAGGGTGGTGAGGACTTCCATCCTGGCCATGAGTGGTGGACTGGCCTCGAGGCCAAGGCTATTTAGGCAGCCAGGCTTTCTTCTCAGCTTGAAGTCCCTCCATCCCCCCTAGTCGGCCCGACTGAATTGGTCCAGCCCAGCGGGGCTGATTATGAGGAGGAGGTCGACGAAGAGATAGAGATTGAGAGGCCAGGGATAGAGCATATTGAGGAGAGGGGAGGTGCTGGAACTGAGCCGATTGGTGCTGAGGGTGAAG